TTCCTTCTCTCTTGAGGATTTGAAGGGGGTTTGCCTCACTAATTTGGGTAGAATTTCCTCCCCTTCCTCTAATGTATTGGGATATTTCCAATATTGTTCATATGGCTACCATGATTGGAGAACCTTTTTGGATGGATGAGCAATCATCCTCTTGGGGTCAAAGTTCTTTTACTATAGTGTGTGTCTGCTTTGATTTGACACGGAAATCTCCCCAAGATTTTAGATTAAGGGAATAAATGGATGATCTTATCGAAGAGTTGAGTATGAGGGCCTTTCTCGTCTTTCTTTCCATTATGGAATTATTGGCCATAAAATGGATTCTTTACCTCGCAAGGCTAAGCTGTAGTCTGATATCCATATTGACAACACTCTTCAATCTAAGTTATGGAATTGCAGAATCCATATATTTCGGTTCATACTTAGTCTTATCCTTCATCTTTCCAACCAGACTAATTTGGAACTTGGAACGTCGTCACTAAATGAGAAAGCCTAAGAAGAAATGTCATCTCCCCGCCACAACTTCTAAAGAACATGAAATGAGGCACCCTTTCCAACATTACTGCTTCCATCCAAGAGCCAATTATCTTCACTGCTCGTATATCTCAGCTGTGGGTTATCTCCAATAAGAGCCTGAATCTCTCCAAACAGATATCTAAGTGTCTCATGGTCAACTTCAGAAAGAACTCCAGCAGCTGGGGCCAGCCACCACTGCCCCATGAAAGATCAAAAAAAGCAACTTATGAGACCTTGGGCGAGAAATTGGGCCCCTCAAATGATCAATGTTGAGGTCTTCTTGGGTGTAGTGTAATGGTTGACATAGTCAAATGAGAGCTTTCTGGGCCCCTTTCTGGAGTGCTCTTTTATTTTCTTTGTTGGTTCCATCTACAATACCTTGGGGGGTCTATCATTTTTTTATTAGGGCTTTTCTTTACACTTTTCCTTTTTTATTATTTCTTTCTTTGGATTTCTTTGTTTGCCTAATCTTTTTTGCTTTTTGCTTTTTGTGTAGGGGAGGCACAGTAGATTTTTTCCAGTTTATACTCATTTGTACCCCTCCTTTGTTTTAATGACAAATCAAAAATTAAACAAAAAAAAATTCATAAGTAGAGAGGGACAAAAAGAAAAAAAAAACATAAGTATAAAGGGATTATTATATTAAATTATCTTAAGAAAAGGCTTGTTGGTGATGAAGTCATCACATATATGAAAGAGGGTTGATAGAAGCATCCTTTCAAAAATTATCATAATATATGACCATATTATATAAGAAGAATCCTTATATAATTATTTATCTTAAAATTCATCATTCAAGGCATTTCAAATATACTCACTTCTATCTAGGTATTAATATAGAAGGGTTAAAAAATTTATTTCATCTAATGTTAAGTATGAATAAAATGTTTTTTAATACAAGAACTGGAGATACCTTGCTCATTGGTAATGGCCCAAGATGCTATTACTTAGATTTATTCAATAATATTTGTAATTATTAATTCAAAAAATAATGATTCATAGATATACTTTATAATTAGATTGACGAAGTCAATATGCCTAATGGAGAGCATAGTTTGTCCCTAATAGAAATGATAGTATCACTAATATTTTATAGGCCAATTTATAAAAAGGAGCATATTTTAAGTTTAAAATAGCTTAAGAAGCATGACGGAGGAAAATTTTAAAAATGAGCAAATACGGAACTTAATTATCCGATTTATTAGAAATCGAAACTTTATTATCCAATTTCAACTTTGACCCTAAATTTTAAAAGAAATCGGAACATAAAATTAAGATTTCTTAAGAATTCGGAATTTCAACTTCCGATTTTCAAAGAAACCAATTTTTGCTTTTTATTAAATTTTAACTTTCAGTTTCTGCTTAAGAAACCCATTTCAACTTCCGGTTTACTTTTTATTAAATTCATAAAATAATATTTAATGAATTACTTAAATAGTTTTTCAGAAGAATATTATAATTTATACTTTATATTTAAAAAAATTTAATAATAAACTATTTTATTAAAGAAATAAATTATTGTTGCGGTCTAGAATATACGCGACGATAGAGTTAGAAATTTTTTCTCTGCGTTGTACGGATACACAGCACACAAAAAGGAGAAAAATATAACACCATGATTTTTACGTGGAAACCTAGAAAGGGAAAAATCACGGGGCCACGCCGAGTTGAAAAGATTCCACTAGTATTTGCTTAGGTTAAAAATGGTTGACTTGTCCCAAAATTGAGGACGATCATATTACAACATTCAAAACTCTTGGATTGAAATTCAATTACAAGTAGAGAGCAAAAATCCAGCAACGTTGACTGGTCGGATGTAACTCCGGCATCAAGTGGCGGTCCAATGGAACTTCGACGTCAAATGGCGGTCTGACGGAACTCCGGTGTTAGGTGGTGGTTCGGCGGAGCTCCAATGTCAAGTGGTGGTCCGGAAGAACTCTAGCGTGAGGTGGTGGTCCGGTGGAGCTCCAACGTGAAGTGGTGGTCTAGCGAAACTCCGGCGTCAGGTGGTTGTTCGGCGAAATTACGGTGTCAGGTCAGCCGTCGGGTGAAAGTCAGGCGATGATCAAGGAGGAGTCTCTTCCTTCTCTTCTCTTCTTCTTATTACTTGGGTCCCCTCTTGAGAGAAATGAGGGGACTATTTATAGTTTTCTGAGAGTGGCATGGCCATTAAATATGAGGAAAATCAAGAGCGAATTGGGAGTGATTTTAATGGACGATCGATATTGAATCTCTTGATTGTAAACCGTTTATCAAACATTTGAAGGCTCTAATGATATCGGAATTTGAAGAAATGAAAAAATATACTAAAATTTAAATATTTTTTCATTATTGTTTTTATATAAATAATTAATATTTAATAAATGGAAATTTTTTTAGGCTCATTCTTAGCAATTTTTTGTCAAAATACCCTTATCAAATTATTTTCTTTAAATTATTTATTAGTAATTTATTTAATTTAAAATTATTTTAATTCAAATTTCAATAAAAATAAGTATCCTAATAAACCAGATTATTCTATAAAATTATATCAAATCAATATGATAATTTATTTTATTTAAATAAAATAAATTATTATTATTAATTTTGAAATAAAGAGTATAAATAGATTAATTAGAAAATCATTAAATATCCCAATTTTTCAATTTCTAATTTTCTGGATTAATTAGGAAATGCAATATACCTAAATATCACAAAACCATATTAAGCTAGAAAATTGGTTTCTTAAGAAACCGGAATTTCACCTTCCGGTTTCTTAAAAAATCATAATTTTATATTCTAGTTTCTTTTGAAATTTCGGTCAATGCTAAAACTGGATAATTAAGTTCCGTATTTGCTCATTTTTAAAATTTTCTTCCATCATACTTCTTAAGCAAATTTAAACTTAAAACCTGCTCCTTTTTATAAATTGACCTATTTTATAAATAGTATTTCTATAGGCACATCATGAAGCTTGCACTAATCATATTGTTATGATTTAACATGACAAAGTTTAAAATTGATAGTCATCATGAGAAATATTACTTAACTTCCAAATTTTATAAAGGAGTTAAGTCTTTTTGGCCCATTGACAAACTAGGCATGAAGGACCTTGTTATTACTACCTTCCTAGAGAATGAAGTTGTCTTTGAGAGATGAGCTTGTATTTTTTTACTTGGTAATCAATATAACTTGTTGAAACTCAATATGCCAAAGTGCTTAGAATATATTATCCCAAGTACATGCCTCTATCTAGTGAACACTTCATTAAACTTCTTAAGCCAAATAATGTAAAAAACATTATTTGGTAGACACACTAATGTAACAGATACAAAAACAAATTTGGCTAAAAAAGCTTAAGAAGCATTGAGTAAGCATTTAAACAGTGCTCAAACATTTACTATCTATCTGATTACTTAATTTGAATTACGTATCTTTGATGTGGATCATAATGATGATGTCGATTCACGAGTAGGACATGTACTTGAAGAAAGGTTTAATATAATGTGTATCTCATGAAATATGCATTAATTGTATCTTGGAATCTAAGTGCCAGATATTACAACATATGTTCAAAATTTTGTGCAAATGAAGCATGTTTAGGCGTGTATCCTAAAAATAGTTATCGGATTGAAAATAGCAACCCCTGCGATTTTTCAAATGAAATAAGGAGCAATGTTATGCTACCCCCAATGTCTAAGTTAAAAAATAGTTGTTCAAAGATTATAAGTCTTTCAAAGAGAGAGTGCAAGTGCAATAAAAGTGAGATGAAGGAACATAACTAAACTACTTTTATAGCCAATTGTCTACCACTTTCATGAAACTTTTACTTGATTTGTCATTGTTGCAATATTATATATACATTTTTTATTTTAGCAAGTTTTCTTTCCACGTTTTAAAGATTTGTCAAAAATCTCTATGTAATATGAATTAATAATTGGTTTCATCTAATGTAACTAATTTGCTCTACTTAATGTTATTATTCTTGTGATTGTGATGGTATATTGCTTATGTTAAATTCCAAAAGCACCAACTACTATAATACCTCATTCAAAACAAAATTAGAAAGGTTCAAATCCTATTTGAATGATTAGAAATGTGTTTGTCCTAGCTTAAACTTAATTTGAAATTTGTTCAAATTAGATTCTAGCTCGAATCCCTATTTTAAACCCTTGTTCCAACCCAATTCGGATCCACTTTATAATTTGATCAAGCACTGCTCGAATCATGCTATAATGTTACTTGAATTTGGCTCATATCTTATGATTTAAATAATATTCTAACATAATTCAAAAATGCCTTCCCACAGTGGATTTCGACGTTCCAATCGTTATTACTAACGCCAACTAATTTTTCCAAATGAATAGTTGAATCTGAACATTTTTCATCTTCGCTTCTAACGTTCGATCTGGATTTCAACACGACACGTGATGCTCACGCGCAAATAGCCTGTAAAGCCGCCACTACTTTTTTATCTCACTTTTGCCCTTTCGCTCTCGCGCCACTATCTCTGGACCCTGGTACCTCTCTCCTTGCCTCTCTCTCTCTATCGCATTCAGTCTCATATTACTCTTCTTCGCTGTTTCTCTCTGTTTTCCTGCAGAAGGCCGGAAACTAGAAGACCAACTGAAGTTCTTAGAGCTTCAGTTGCAGTTCGACGTTAACAAATGCAGAATCGCGCAAGGAATCACATTCGATCATCAACTCCCAAGCCTCAAATCTGAACAAACTTCTGCTTCCGGATCAAAGCCTAAAAATAAGATTACATATTGCTCCATGCCGAAGTCCAATTTTCTCCCTGTTCTCCTCCTCCTCCTGCACACGATATTTTCTTTTCTCTCTTTGTTTTCCTGCTCACAGCAGCTCTCCGCCTCCCAGTCTCAAGCCCTCTTCCGCCTCCGGCGAATCCTTGAATACCCCCCTCCCCTCTCTTCATGGAATCGATATACATCCTTCTGCTACCTCCCCTCCTCCCCATCCCTCTCCATCTCCTGTTCCTCCACCGGCCAAATTACTGGGCTTTATATTGCCGGTGACGGCGGCCGTTCTTCCCTCTCCGCCAACTTCTCCTCTGACTCCCTCTTCACCACTCTGTCCAGACTCAACAGCCTCACCTCTCTCTCCCTTGTTTCATTAGGTATTTGGGGCCCTTTGCCTGCCAAAATCAAGAGGATGTCTTCACTGCAAGCCCTCAATCTTAGCTCAAATTACTTCAACGGAACTTTTCCTGATTTCAAACCCATGGCGCTTCTTAGTGAATTAGATTTGGGTGGAAATTTTCTCGGACCTGAGTTTCCTTCCCTTGCGAATAGCATTGCAACACTAGTACTTCGAAAAAACAACCTTCGCGGGGAGTTACCCGTGTTTCTTGCAGCCTTGGATCATCTTCAAAAGCTCGATTTATCTTCCAATAAGCTCAGCGGTCCGATTCCACCATTGTTGTTCTCCCTGTCAACTCTTCGATACTTGGATTTATCAGCTAACAAGTTGCAGGGAGCTCTCCCATCAAGTCTTTCTTGTGGAAATGATCTAAATTTTGTAGATATATCAAGTAATCTTTTAGTGGGAGGTTTGCCGTCTTGCATTCGGACCAACTCCTCCAATTTGATTGTCCTCAATTCATGGAACTGTTTATCAGCAGCTCATCTAAAGTATCAGCATCCAAATTCCTACTGTATGAGGAAGCCATTGGCTGCAGTGTTACCTGATAGCAACAAGAAAGTAGGCTCCAAGAGCAACTTGGGTCTTATACTTGGCGTTGTGGGAGGAATCATAGGAGGGATTTTGCTGATAGGGTTCATACTGTTATTATTTCTTAAGAAGGTGAAATCAGAAATGAATGGAGTGAAGTTTCTGCACAAGCCAATCGATGGAAGTGATTCTATTCCAGTTGCTAAAAGAACTCCTGCTGATGCAAGTAGGCCATGCCCTCAATCTCATTATCTTATCTTGGTGATTTCCTTCTAAAATTGCTTCATAGGGCTAAGATAAATCTTATTTGAAGTTATCGTGTGTAATTTCTTTTTCAATATTTTCATCTTTGCAGGGCACATGTCTCAGGGAGTGATCATTGGCACACTGGGAATAACACCATACCGTGTTTTTACCATTGAGGAACTTGAAGAAGCCACCAATGGCTTTGACTCCTCGAATTTGGTTTCAGAAGGTCGTCAAGGACAGGTATAGCTGTTAAATAAGTCTGTAAACAATAAAGGGGCTGTATTTATGCTTTAATGTTTTGAACGTAATTAATTAGGGGTAATGCTTTAATGTATTTATGCCTTGTTTTTAACTCTGTGGTCCTGTTTCCTTAATTCAATAAATACGCTGTTTCTCTATAGGCATGTCTACAAGGGGGGCATTTGAATTACTGTAATGACTGCTGCTATTATTTCAAAAATTAGGAAAAAAATTATATCTTAATATGTTGACAAATGAGTGATCAGGAATTTGAAAGCCTTTGTCATGAAGGACTCATGACCATTAGTTAAAGCAGATGTTTATATCTTCATAGTCATAGATTAGAACCATAATTTTTTGTTATTCATCGCCCCTCATTCCCAAAATAAAAATAAAAATAAAAAAGCCTTTAGCTTTGATTTGTGATGAGTGTGATATTAGTTATGCATTGCATTTATTTTAAAATAGATTTAAGGTATTGAAAGACCAAAATTTTAGTCAAGATATTCTTACTCAAGTTTTTTTTTTTATTATTGTTTAAAATGTTTAAGTGCTACTGCAAAAACAATCTATTAAATAAAAGCATAAAATTAACTTTATGAAAACGTTTGTTTTGATGATTCTAAATTAATAAAACGCTTTTATCAATTTTAGTTTTTTTTTATTTGATAAATAAATAAATTCATTATTTTCAGTAATTGGATACTATTTAGTATTACTCATCATAATATAATAATTTAAAGTTAGTAATGATAGCAATGCCAGAAGGAGCCTAAGATTTTTTGTTTCAGTTGAGCTTTATTATATACTATTCAAAAACCAATGTATCTAGCTGATATGCTTGCTTTTGAAGCATCCTATTTCTTGGAAAAATAATAAATTTTCTCGATTCAGGAAAACAATTACTACTGATGCAAGAACCAAGTTTAGAAAACCAAGATGAGAGCATGAAGAAGAAAGAAGCCCTCTATTGTATATTTTTTTTATTTATTTTTTTTTAAGCTTATCTGTAACCGTCCTATTGTCTTACCATGAAATCCCACTCCGACTCCTGCTTTATTTATTTTTTTTTTTTTGGCACATCCATCTCTATTTCCTTCATTTTCTATTCTCTCATTCTCACAGTTAGAATTTTAATTAGTTAAGAATTTAATAAATGAGTCTGTTTGGTTTGAAAACCAGACCTGCTTTTCCTCTCTCTCTTATGAGTTCATTCATGTCAATTAATATATATCATATGTGGATAGATGTGAAAGGAACCAAGACCTACAAGTTGTTGCTTGAAGCTGAAAATGGACCAGAAAATAAAGAAAATGGCTGCTGCTATAGCAGTTAATCAGACTCGTCCTTGGAGTATTTGCATCCTCTAAGGACCTAGAACCTTAGACCCATCTCGTAGAATATTCTCCTGATTCCTAATCAATCTTATTGTGTGCTAGACTATTTACATTGGCATAGGACAAGTTTATGATCTTAGCATTGTATAAAGGGAGATCCAACATACTCGAGTAAATTTTAGCACTCAAGAGACATCACATTTTATTTGTAAAAAATCCTGAAAATGTAAAAAATCACAGATTTGATCGAATTGAAATAATTCCATGATTTAGATTGAAAATTACTATGATTCATCCTACCCTGTCTCAAGAGTTGATGAGATTATAAGATTAGGAGATTAATTTTAGTGTTGGTTGATAATGGAGGATGACTTACATTGGCTCCATTCAATGGTGGACAATGACGAACGGTGGATGTCAGAAATGATCAATGATGGGAATTGATTGTGATTGAAGGAGGATATCAGAGATCATCATTGGAGGATATCAGAGATCATCATTGGTGCTAGTTGATGGTGGGCGCCTGCGGTAGATGACGGTGGTTACAACAAGGGATGGAGGGCTTTGATAATTGACATTAACAATCGATGGTCATCTTTGATGGTGGATGACAACGGGTGTAGGAAATGCTTGACATGTTATTGCAAGCTGAGCTCTAGATCCCTTTGAGTCTAAGCATTCTCTTCTCTAGAAATTCTTCCTCAAGGTGTTATAGCATGGTTTATTTATAGTTTTTCAAGGGGCATTATGAACATTTTTTCCAGTAATTAGTACATGACATCAGACAATCGAAGTAATTTTCACTTGATAATATAAATTTTTTTAGATATTTTAATGCCTTAATAATATTGGAATTATGAGATTAATTGATTTATCTTTTTAGGACAATCTTTTTGACTGTAAGCATAAAGAATTCATGAATTATTTTGTCACTCAAATAGTTATATGAAGTTTTCAACTATACTTTTAAGTTTGGATGCTTGGTCTAGGTTTAATTAGACTGAGATCAAGGCATTCTTTGTTTTGTTGAATTGGTCTTATCAAGACTTGTTCAAACTATAAGTTCGCTGCAATGGAATTTGGATGATTCTAGAGTTAATTTTGAATGTTTTTATTTGAATATTTAATCACTATGAAATATGAAAATTGTATTAAAATCCATACTGGATTGGATAAATTTTCTAGTTACGTATCACATTTGAAGCTCAATGAGGTAGGGATAAGCTTAAAATATGGTAGAGGTGGCATGAGACGAAATTTTGTTTAATGTCATGGAATGTTTAATATGGTTTTAGAAACAGCAAAACTTAATTGGTCCTGTTAGCTATACAAAAACATAATAATATCATTTACTTTCTGTTTTGCTTATAGCCATGTATATAGCCTACCTTACATTATATATATGTGTACCAGTGAAACCGAATACATGAATAATAGATTAATTACTTTCTCTCTTCTGTTTCGTTCTCTGTTCTTCTTCTTGGGCCAAGATCGCCCAGTTCGTATCACTCCACAGGTCCCAGTAAGTTCAATTTTTGATTGCGGGATTATATTTCTTAGAATATGTAAAATCTCCAAAGAGCTCTAGTATATGACATTGGAAGAAGAATGTTAAACAGTCTCCTAATACGTTCTGTGACAATAAACAAGATCATCATGCGTTTGAGTCATATTTTGGGCATATATTTGCATTTTGAAGTTTGTACCTAGCTAACGTTATATTATATTCGTTTTCTTTCATATGCTGCTAGTTCTTCAAGGGGTGGCTCCAAGATGGCTCCACAGTTTTAGTGAGAAGGTTGAAGTTGAAGCAAAAGTGCTCACCTCAGAACCTTCTTCGATATATAGATATCATTTCAAAGCTCAGGCATCGTCATCTGGTCAGTATCCTTGGGCATTGCATATCTGCTGGCGAGGGGAATGCTAACACACCAAGCACTGTTTTTCTTGTTATCGAATATGTTTCCAATGGAACTCTGAGGAATCATCTTACTGGTAACCAAAATCTCTTATGATGGTTGAGATTTCAATACAAACTAGCATGAGCTTTCATAATTTTTTGTTCTCTTTTTGCAGAGTGGAGAAAGCGTGAGATGCTGAAATGGCCACAGAGAGTAACAGCTGTAATCGGTGTAGCTAAGGGATTACAATTCCTGCATACTGTAATGGTTCCTGGTTTAACAGGGAATGATCTCAAAATCGAAAACATTTTGCTTGATGAAACTCTTACAGCAAAAATTAGTAATTATAATCTTCCAGTCTTACCGAAGAATAAGAACAAAAAGGTTTGTGCAAAGTCTTTAAAACCATGAATGTTTTTTAGCTTTTATGTTACCATCCAAATTCTCAAATTGCAGGTTGATTGTGAAATCCCTTTTGATGTCTGGGAAGACGGGAATTTTGGGAGGTAAAAATTTTTTTGAAGTTGTCAATTTGGTAAACATGCAAAGTTTGATTTCATTACATTTCAGTTGTCTGCGGTTGATTTGATTCTATTATTTTTTGTGCGCATTTGGTTACTGTCTTGTGCACAGCATGCAAAATTTTGAGAACGGTGAAAAGGAAGACATTTATCAGCTGGGCTTGATCCTCTTAGAAGTCATCACAGGCAAACCTCCTGGATTACAGGGGGAGTTGGATACAGTGAGAGCTCAGGTTAATTTCTCAAATTCAATTCACATATTATTTATATCCTAAATTATACCAAACTATGAAGATAAAGTAGCTTACACATTCTAAAATTTAATAGAAATTGTGCTTTGGAACAGATAGATGATGCGGATTCATAAACGTTGCCATAAATTGTTAGGATAATCTTTAATGGCTTCATCTAAATAAATTGACAACAAAAGCAATCATTGATTTGAATATTGCTGTTTCAGCTTCGGAAGAGCTTGACTGATTCTCCGGCAAAACTTGGCATCATAGTGGACCCGACCATTCGCAACACATTTGCATATGATTCTCTGAGAAGGGCTGTTGAAATAGCGATCAATTGTGCATCTAAAGATTCAACAGAAAGGCCATCTATTGACGATGTTCTTTGGAACCTGCAGTATTGTATCCAAATTCAGGATGGATGGGCCAGCAGTGAGAACCTTAGCACTCAGTCATAAAGTTTTATTCTATGGCTTGCAATAATCAAATGTTCTTTCTCTTTGCTTCACCTAATAAAGTTTCATTGGAGTTTTTTGAGTGCTATTTGTACATGCTTACTTCTTAGAAGCCAATAAGTGTACAAAAATATCATGCTGCTTTGAATTCCATGATTTTAAAAGTAGTTTTTTAGTATGACAATTTTAATTTTTATACTAAAAAGCTACTTCTATAAGCACTAAGAAAAGCGTTCTAGATGAAGCCTAAATGTTTTTATATTATAAAAAAATTGTGGATCGTAAAATTATTGAGACAATTTCGCTCTACTCGATTGTAAAGTTAAGATATGCTTCATGAATTTGTTTCATTTAACTCTCATGTATATTTAAATTTTTTGTCCATCGTCTGTATACATGTTATCTAGTATCATTTAAATTTATTACCTATCACTTCTAAACTTACAAAGAGAGATGGATGTATATATGGTGTTATTGAGCTCTTCTATTTTCATCATATATGTCTAATACAGTTGTTCATCACGCTAGTTATGGTCTTCTCATGTATTATTGTTATGAGCTAGAGTATTTATGGTTGAGGGATTCTATATTTAATATCTAAGCTTTATACAAAAATTTTGTATGCACAAATAAAGTTGTCAATGATTGAAATTTTTTTATGTGGAAATTCTAAGAAGGGAATAAATCATGAGGTCTAATCTAGCTATAATAATCTTCTATCCAATTAGAGGTACAAAGATATGCTCCTCCACAATTAAAGATGGAATCACAATTAAAAATAATAATCTTATTCATGTTGATTTAGTATTACAAAAGTTTGATGTCCACATGTGAATAGTTGAAATTGAATAATGAGTTTGAATGCAAGTAATTAGACAACAATAGTCGGAAGATAGAAGTTAGGCAATTGTGATAGTTATTGCTCACTGTAGTCGTCAACAATGATCACCAAGAAATGAAATATAGTTCTTTAGCTCTCATTGTTTCCGAACATCCTTCACGTAGAAAATAAAGCCTTTTTTATAGTCTTTTGAGTTGAACATTTTGGTTATAATGCAAAATACTCCATCAAATGGTCTATGTTAATTTCTTTGATCATAAATTATTTATTCAGCATTAGTGTCTTATTGCTAATAGAATTAATAAGCCTTAAACTCGTTGGATTCTTCTAGTCAAGCTATTCGATTTAATTATAAGATAACAAGATTTGGAGACCATTTGGTTATGCAATTAATATTCATAAATTTATTAATATGCTTCAAATGCTTAATTTGCCTTCAATTGGATTCATAATGGGTCATTTGTGGTGTTAATGGGTTCAGATATTCAATTGACTATAAGTTTCTTGAAATTAGAGTTTGAATGGCCCTCATCTTTAATTTAATTTAGGAAATTTTTTATTCAAATATTTTCTAAAAACTTATTATCAAGTGAACTTTTTGAAGATGTGTAAATTATAATGAATGCAATATTCTTTATTAGTGATAGATGTACTAGTCTAAATGGTTCTTTATCTAGCAAATCATTGTCTTATTAGCTCGTGGTAATGGAGCTCTCCACAATCTAACATAATTATCAAGATTTTATATTCGAAATTTGCCAAAATAAAATTTCTACCTTCTCAATCAACATTTAAGAAAATTCTTCAAATTGGCTTTTGGTAATTGTCCGAAGACTTAGAGAGAGAAACTCCTGGAATTTGAATTGTTTTTCAAATTTCTTCTTCGTCAACCCATTGGCGGAATTTCAGCTGGGTATGGACAGACGGCCATTGTCCGTCAGTGATGGCTGGAGTTTGCTACAGGAATCAGATAAATCAAAACGCTTGGTTTCTCTGAATTCAATACGGATGAATGCTCCTCTGGTGATCAAAGTACCGATTGAATTCAGAACTCAAATCTCAACTCCGATCGAAGGTAAAGGCAAACAGATTTTAGAAGAGATGATTACGAATACTCCTCATGGTATTCGTAGCAATTCTAATGTGGATTTGTCGTCTTCATGTATGAAGTTGTTCGTGAATAGGTTTGCGAATTCAAGACCTGTTTTTGGTACTGGAAATCCTATGGTTAACCAGGAGGTTCTGGTTGGACCATCAAATACTTGTGAAAATGCTTTTGTTCCTGTTCAACCAGAAGATTCTCTAGCTCAACGAATGGAGATGTTGGAACGTCGGCCGTGGATTCCATGGATGAAGCATCCATATATTAAGGTGGACATGATGAATGTTGACTCATGTTTGTCGGAGGATGGATCGGTGGTTCAACTGTTCGAGCCTAATGTTCAAGCAAATTTGTTGAAGCTTCAGTACTCTGTGGTAGTAAAAGTTTTTGGTAAATCAATTCCAATCCATGTGATTGCAGGAGAACTGAGGCGGCAATGGCTACAATTTGAAAATTTTCATTTGACTATTTTGGGCTCAGGATGGATTCTTTGCTCTATTTTTACTGTTGAAAATTTGGAGAAGGTCTTAACCGGTGGGCCTTGATTTGTGAATCGCCATATAGTTGGAATGGATAGGTGGAATCCTTGCTTCAATCTGGATTCACTTATGGGACTAGTTTCTCCCATTTGGATCAGAATGCCTAATCTCCCCTTATACTGCTGGGATGAAACAAATGTGTCGAGGATAGCCTCTAAGATTGGTAAACCTCTCTTGATTGATGGTGACATGTTTCAATGGGGAAGAAGGGAGTTTTCAAGAATTTGTGTTCGTGTGGAGCTTGATAAAAATCTGCCTTTAGGACTTTGGGTTGAAGGAAGGGAGGGAAGATTTTTTCAAAAAATTGAGTACGAAAAAATTTCTTCCTTGTGTTTCCATTATGGTAAAATTGGGCATATTTTTGATAAATATCATGAGCTGAGGGATCAGAATTTTATAAAAAGTGTGGAGAAGGATGATGAATCTAGCATAATTCTGGAGAAAACCAGGGATGTTAATGTTAAAGAGGATTCTTCTTATAGGCCTTGGGTATTGGTCAACAACAAGAGGAACACTAGAAGAAGAGTAGGAGTTATGAGAAACAATTTCTTTCCAAAAGCTAGAGGTGTCTAGAATGCTCAGATGGATAAAGCTGCAGCGAGCTAACCTGGGAAGGCTATTAGAGTGGGTGAATAGGGGCTTTCCTCTATTATGGATCAATCTCTATTTGTTCCAAAAGAGGATATTCCTATTTGTAAAATGGTGGCAATGGCAAGTATGAAGATGTCTTCAGCGCCTAGTGCTTTAATTGAAGGGAATTCTTTGGAAGGCAGTATTCCATCGGGTTTTATAAAGGTAGAAGGGAGTAAGTTATGCAACAATCTCTCAGTGGCGGTTGGCATTGCTGATGAAGACCCTATTCCAGAGGATCTAGTAGAAGTCAGGAAGGACTCAGTTCATGATGATCTCTTATTTCCTGGTATTATATAATCTTTTCCTTCTATTTTAAATTCTGAAGCCAACAAATTTGAAGTTCTGAATTTAATTGTTGAGGAAGATGTGGTTTTAAATAATATTGAGGGGAGTAGTTGTGTGGAAGTGGAAGAAGAGGAAGTGGTGGAGTCATCTATTGAGCATCCTGTCTATGTAAAGAAGGAGGGATTGGCTATTTTAAGTAGAAATGTTTCTTTGGATCCAAAAGGAAAGGAACCTGTTTGCTTGGGTAATGTTGTGACTAGAGGGAGTAAATCGAAGTTGGCTACAGAGCTCAGAGATCTTGGTCCATTGAATGCATCCTCTAAGCTAAGTAAGTTGAATGTAAACAAGAAAAGAAGTGGGGGTTTTCCCCTTTCTTGTCCAAATGACTTCTTTAGCCTTTTGGAACTGTAGGGAGGCTTATAAGATGGAAGCCTCCTTATACCTGATGAAATTTGTTAGAGAGTGGGATATTCTTTTTGTTGGTATTGTTGAGACCAAAATCACTTCTATTGCTAGGGAGGATTTTGATAAATTCATTGAAGTGGGATGGGATTATCTTGTTTTCCCATCTAGTGGAATGTCTGGAAACATTATGGTGTTGTGGAGGGAGTCTTTGGCATCTTTTACTTTGCTAGAAGCTTCTGATCAATCTATTCTTGAGAACTGAATATTTTGAATAAAGGTGTATAGGTGGTTTCGACTGTTTATGGTGGTAGAGATCTTTATGGTAGAAGAGGTTTATAGGAGTTCTTGGAACATCATCATAGGCCAAAACTTCCTTATGTAGTTGGGGGAGATTTTAACTGCATCCTTTCTCAAGATGACAAGAAAGGAAGTAAAATGTTCTCCTTTTCTAAAGGCCCTATGGAGATGAGGAGTTTTATGAACAAATTAGATTTACATGACATTGAGATCATTGGACCTAAATATACTTGGTGCAATAATAAGAATGGCACGACTCATATTCATGAAAGATTGGATAGATGTTTGTTGAATACCAAGGCTTTGGAGTTAATTCCTCAAGCTTTTGTCAGACACTTAGCAATGATTGTGTCTGATCATAGTCCTATTGTTTTGAAGATTATTATGCCAGCGGTCTGGAGGAGGAGTTCTCAAAAATTTTGAAGATGTTTAGTTGTCATACCCGACTGCAGCAGCGGTTGTTAGAAGATCGTGGGCTAAACAGTCAAGAGGTGATGCAATGGAAGTCTTAAATAAGAAGTTTTCATGGGTTCTGAAAGCTTTATATTTTTGGAGCAAATCAAAGCATCAAATGATTGAAGAGTTGAAGGTGAAATTAAAAAAGGAACTAGAAGAACTTCAAATGGAGGAATCGGTGGACCAGAATTTTACCCAGGACAAAATTCTTCTTCTCAGATCAAAGGTTAATGATTATAATTGTACTCTTGCTAGATTGAGTACGTGGTGGAGGCAGAGAGCAAAACTAAGGTGGATAGGAGAAGGGGATGCAAATTCGAGCTTCTTTCATGCATTTGCTAATGGCCGTAGAAATGGGAATCTTATCAAGAAAATCAAGGATGGCACGGGAAGTCTGGTGGAAGAGCCTGAATGTATCAGGGAGGTATTTAGGGAATTGTTTACTAACAAATGGAGACTTAGAAGCTGCTGTTTGCATGGTTGGCCTCCTAACCCGAAGTCTTTAAGGCAAAGTGATTCCGATTTCCTTAGCTCTGATTTTCGATTTGAAGAATTGGAGCTGGTTATTAAAGAATTTGGGAATAATGTTTCACCCGGTGTGGATGGAATTACATACTCATTCATTAAAGCTCATTGGAAAATAATTGGTGTGGATGTTTGGAAAGCAATTGAGCTCTTTTTTTCTTTGGGTAAAATGTGCTCTAAATGGAAGGAGACGTTGGTTGGTCCTCATTCCTAACATCAGTACTCCTCTTACTCCTTCTAATTTTAGACCTATTAGTCTGTGTCTTTCTATCTATAAGATTGTTGCCAAAATGCTTTTAAACAGATTATCAAAGGTGATTCATTATTTGGTCTCTGATGTCCAAGCAGCATTTATTAGGGGGATATCTTTGTATAATCATGTTATCCTCGCTCAAGAAGTTTTTCATAAATTTCGAATTTTAAAATCTAAGAAAGGGCTGGTGGCTATTAAGGTGGATATGGAACAAGCTTACGATAGTATGGCTTGGGGTTCTCTTAAACAAGTTTTGGATTACTTTGGTTTTCCAAGGAGATTCTCTAATCATGTAATGGATTGTGTGATTGATCCTTTGTTCTTGATTCAAATTAATGGAGTTGGATCAAGGTGGATTGAAGCCAAGAGCAGATTTAGACAGGGGTATCCTCTGCCACCCTATTTGTTCATATTGTGGTCTCAACTTCTAACTAATGGTTTTTTATTCGAAGATAGCATGTTGGGTGTAAAAGTGACTCCTTAAGCTCCTAGAATTTCTCATCTTCTTTTTGTAGATGATATCCTTATATTCAGGGGTGTCAATATTTGACACGACACGACAACCCGACCCGGACCCGACCCGAAAAATCCGGGTTGGACCCAACCCGTTTATAAACGGGTCGGGTCCGGGTTTGCAGTTTCGACCCGTTTGATTAAACGGGTCGGGTCGGGTTGACCCGGCGGGTTGCCGGGTCAACCCGAAAACCCGTTTAATTTAAAAAAAAAATGAATTTCCCGCTGCTCCCGCCTGCTGCCCGCTGCGCTGCCCACTGCCCGCCTGCCCCACGTGTCGCGCCCCGCGCT